AACCATCCAGAAGACAAGCTTATTGTTATTATCAAACGATTTAGGCTATCAAGCTTAACCTCACTATCTCACTGCATTTCAAACATCTTAGGCATCATAAGGAACAGGTATTTTTCATCAAGTATTGATATGCTGAACTTTAATTGCTGTTTCTTACTCTCCACAATACACATTTGGACTCTAGCTTCTGAAAAGTCCCTAAATTTTCTATTGCAATTCAAGGGTGCTCATACTCCTATTTCTCGTGGTGTTTTTATCACTGTCAAATGAATCTAATCTCCAAGAGAATTTAACCTGGCTGACAGAATTAAAGAATTTTCTCCATGATTATTACAGTCATGTTGCTGCTTTTGTGATAGTCTTCATTATAGTAACAGTAAGCATTTCTTTAAAACCCCTTAAACCTTACACTATAAAGAAAATATGTCTGTTTAAGACAGCTGGGGCAAGGGGAGAGTCAGCGGCACAGCACCTGTCTGGCAAGCGTGAGTTTGATTCCAAAAGTATCACATTGATCTACCAAAGTTTATCACACTGATATACAAGGATTGATATATCAATTTATCACATTGATATAATCCATTGATATACAAGGATTGTTAGGATTACTAAGGAAAATTATTTTTTTAATACAAAATTAATTAGTTAATTGATTAATTAATTCGTGTGTAATTAATTACATACACACTTTAAGATTTAAGCGTTCCATAATTTATCACAGATGCCATGAATTATATGCTATGTCGTCAGATACATCCTGTCACAGTTAGTCATGACGTGCCGCTTAAATGGATTCTGGGCCGCTGGCACATTAGTGAAGCCCAGCCTGGGTATGTCTGTGGATGAGGGGTGTGTCGGCCATCAGATGGCGGAGGCCAGCCCCAGACGTCAGTGGTGCCGGGCAGTGGGCAGTGGACTTGTGGTCCAGATGTAGTGAAAAACAAGAAGTAGAAAGCATTTCCAGTGTGAAGAGCCACAGCTTTGCTGTCCCCTGTGGACATTGGGCTCATTTCTTTAGCCTTGCAGTGTGACTGCAGTGACCTGGGGTTCTGATCTTGGCTGGTGCTGCCGCGTTGGGCCCTCTGATTCTGTGGCTTCCTTCTCCTGAGGCACAGCAGCTTCTGGGCCTCTGGCTGTGGTACAACTCTCCTGCCTCTTGCACCTTGGAGAGTCCCTGGGGAATTCTCACCCACCCTACCCCTGCCCAGGGCTGTGGCATTCCTGATAAATTCCCATACCTAATGGCACGTATATTCTTATTCTCTTCCTCAAAAGAACCCTCAGTCCTAACCATGTTCAGCAGGACCCCAGGCTGCTCAATGAGTTGTGTTTGCAAAAAATGGAGCTGGCATAACTGGAGATCTTCATGTGAAAGGATGAAGTTGGACACATATGTAAACTAAAATAATTAAAAGTGCGTCAAAGAGCTACAACTATAGTGTTGAAGAAAAACCCTTTTGAGTTCATGATTTCTTAACTATTACACCAAAAACCACAGCAAAGGACAAAATAGACAAATCAAGCTTCATAAAAATTAAATTTTGTGTATCAGACGACACTGTAAAAGTAAAAAGACAACACTCAGAACAAGAGAAAATATTGGAAGATCATTTCTCTTACAAACTTATACCAGAATGTAAGGAATATAAGGAATCCTTAATAATTCATTGATAAAAGCACAACACGTTAAATAATGGTCAAAATTTTCAATAGGCTTTTTCCAAAGAAGATACACAAATGGCCAACAAGAACATAAAAAACACAGTGGACATCATTAGCCAACAGGGAAATGCAAGCAAATCATATGATACCACTATAGTTACTAGGATGGCAAAAGCCACGAAGACAGTTAACTAGCAAGAGAGTTGGAATGTGGGAGCCCCGCCCTTGGTGTGATTATGCTTTGAAAGGGTGCCAGGGTCTCAGAAGAAGCGAGCAGTCACAGTGCGATCCCGTCCA